GGAGCCAGACTACTCAAAAATTCGAAAATTCCAGTAAAAAGATCAAAACGAAAAAGGAGAAACTTTAAAACAGGGCAATCGTCCTAGGAAAACCTCGGAGTCGAAACGAATTAGCTCTAATACCAACCTCACGCCCCCTCGCGGCTTCCCGTACGGGGTCGCCGATCAGAGTACTAGGAGGGGCGTGGCCGAGGATTTTTGGCCGCAAGGGTTGAGTCTCCCGGACGGAACGGGAGGCTCTCGTTTCGTGGCCGAGGTTTTTCTCGGAGTCGAACTATCGTCACGAAGTCCCATGGGGGGTGGATTACTCCGAAACGATAAAATCAGAAGAATTTCTGTGAAAATGAATTGTCGTCGTGCATCGGGACGGAAAAAGGCATCAAGGGGAGGGGGCCATGGCGGCGGAAGACAAAACTTCGACCGTCAGGGGTTTGGGGGATAGGTGGTGGGTTCGAAGCCTTCAGGCCTCATCATCGACTTCACAAAGTGTCTGAACCGTCGGGTCTTTTGCTGTAGAGGTGGTTGGTTCGAGGCCATCAAGCCTCGGCGTCGGACTCACAGAGTCCGAGCGAAAGTTTCTGGGAAGGTGAAGTGGCGGGAGGACTCGCCGGCATCTGAATTCGAAATTGCGCGGGCAGCGCCCCTGCACTACGATAAAGTTCGGGGAGACGTATCGCTCCCTCCTAACCTAGGACCAGTCGCCGCCACGAGCACGAGTCCCCCTGGCGACACCAGCGACAATCAAACTGCGGTCGCCACGCGTCGTGAGCGGCCGACCAGGGCAACACTGTTAAGCCCGTATAAGGCAATATCAGAGTCGGGGAATCAAAGCGATCAATCAACACAAACCCGTTCCCCCTTATCTCACAGGCCCGCGGCGGGTCTTTCCAACACACTTGCTCCGTCCGCCTCAGCGTGCGCCGTACATCCGCATTGCAGTAGACGCTGTCGTCATCTGTGATGGGGAAGGTCGGTAGCGAAATGAGACGATCGGAGGTACGTGATGAACACGGGCAAGATCCCTCGTTCCCGGTCATCCGAGCCAACACCGAATCCATACAACAATCTTCGCAACTTTTCTCTCTTAAAAACGGGGGTGCGTAGGGGGAAGATGACGAAATCCAAGCTTTCTCCCCTTGGCGGGGGCGTCGACCGTCCGCGCGGACGCAGGCGGTCGACGTCACCGGTACGGGGACGATAAGCTCTAAAAGCGATGACTTTCAGTTCCGAGGTAGGCGATCAAGTAAGGGAAAAAAGGAGAGAGAGAGTGAGAGAGTGAATTACGCCGAGACCGCGCGAGAGCGCAGGAAAGACCACGGAGGGGAGGGGAACAACCGGATCAACACACTCATACTCCTAAGCAGACGGTCCCCTAGTTCAGTTTCCTCATCCCCGCCCGGACAAGTACATACACGCATACATGCACGCAATCAGCAGCCCTTGACAGGACATCTAATCATCCATGGACCTTTGACGTCGCTCATGCGCATAACCAGCACCCTTCACTCGGGGCTTCACACACACGACATGCATAGACAAAGCAGCAATGGAGATAGAAGCGAGTCCTTCTTGTACACAAAAAATTCAATTAACTGCCGCCCCCAGGCGCTGCCTTCAAAACTCCCCAAGAGGCCCCGCCGCGGCCGGCGTCCAATCCCCACCACTGATCAGTCCCTCCGACTGCTTCGCCCCGAGACTACCGCGGGGTCCACCCCACGTCGTCACTCCACCCGTCCTTGGGCTCGTCGAGCCTGTTCGGCGCCGCGGACTCTCGCGCATAGCTCGCGCAGCATTGCAGCCGAGATCAAAGAGAAGGATAGCGCAGGAGGCGGCGGGTTAATAGCGCGAGGTGCGGGCAGCGCAGGGTGTAGATGAGTAGGACAGGAGAGAGAGGTGGGGAGTTAGAGGGTTCGACCCGCGGGATTGCATGGCTACGTGATTGGGGTGTTCGTTCAAGTGGTGCGCGGCTTCCCGCTTTCCACACTGATCCGAGCATCCCAACTACGCAGCCAATCACTTCGTGGAGGAAGACAGGGTAAGGATCAAGCCGGGCGTAGGGGAAGAGGAAGAGTCCGGCATGGGGAAAACGCGCGCAGCAAGAAGGGAAGATGGCGCGAGGATGCAAAGCAAGAAACGGGGATGCGAGACGCGCGAAGAAATCGGAGCTTGGGCGCGCGCACAAAAATTCAAAAAGTCCCAACCGCACCTGTTTCTTTATTATCATACCGCGGCCGCTATTTGCCCGCGGGAGTTATTAACCAAACAAAATGAAAAAGGCCGTTTCAAAAAGAAAACAAAAGCAAAAAGAAAGAACCCCCCCTTTCTATCGGCGTCCGTACTTCGGGGCTTCCGCGGGATTTTCCCTCAAGGATACGGCAAGCCGCGCGGTACGGATCTGAGCTTATCACATGTTATCTCTGAGAATTGGCATGGGTTCTCTGTTATCCTGCTACACCGATTCTTGTCTACTATAAGCTAAGCCGGCTGACGTTGCCGGGATAACTCCGGGTTGAATTGTGAGGTCCCTGGCCTCGTCCTCATTTTGTAATGACATTGATATTAAAAAAATAAAATAAAAAAAATCAGCTGTGCGCCTGCCTCCTTGCCATGGTCAGAGGAGGCATCGGTTCACGGCAGCGCGTGCGGACTAGACCAAATTCACGCCAGGCGCCTGAAGTAGCGCCTGACTCGAGGTTGATTAGTGCCGGCGCTCCCGCGGTAGGTTTTCCGCCCCGGGCCTAGGTCCCACTAGCAAAGAGAATTGGATTGAGCGCCTGAATCTAGACGAATGCATTGGAAAGATGCAGAAAATGGACATTCAACTGCGTTTCTGCATCTCTTCTCAAAACCCACGTCCAGATGCAGGAGCTTAATCCAATCCTCTCTGCTAGTGGGACATCGCCGCCCCAATCCGAGCCGATTTCAGTGGGCTTCGGAGGAGTGCTTCGGGGGCTGCGGATGCTGAAGGGACACTGTGGCTAAAAGCACAACCCGATTTCAGTGGGCTTGCAGTGCTTCGGGGCTGCCAGTAGCACTCACACTGCCTCGGCAGGTTCTGGTCGGAAGCTGGCAGCGTCGTCATCCTGTTTTTTTTTTTTTTTTCCCCTTTTAAGCCGGGAACTGGGCCCGGCGTACCTCACAAAATTAGGGAGGGGCCTCGGCGGCCAAAGCATCAGCAGCGAAGCACATCAAGGGTACCACTCCATAGATTTCACCCTGCAGCCAACTCCATAGCCAACTCCACAGCCCCTACCACTGAAAAATCAACGAAATTTATCAGCAAAATCTGAAGTTCATCACCAAAAACTCTAATCACAATAGTCATGTGAACCCTATTTCAATGACCTAAATTCCACCGACCATGTGCGAAAAGGAACTCCCAAAGAAAACGAATCAAAACCACAAAAAAGAAACAAGCGGTCACTTTTTTCTGTCAGTACAGAATTCCTTTTTTTTTCTTTTTTTTTCTTTTTTTGAGAAGTTGTCACTTTATATTGACAGAATTCCTTTTTTTTTCTTTTTTTTTCTTTTTTTGAGAAGTTGTCACTTTATATTCAAAGAAATAACTGTGGTCGAGGCCGGGGACCTCACAATTCCACCCGGAAGTCACAAGGGAACCATGCTGGAAACCGGGTCCAGCGTCCCAACCACTCTTCTCTCGAAGGGGTGAAAAAGCGCCTCGCCACACCACTCTTGAAACGGGGAAATTTTTCAAGAGCTGTCAGACGTTCTCAAGAGTTGGGTTTTCAAGAGTTTCGGGCCCCTTGCCACACAGCACTCTCGAAAGCGTGATGGTGTTGGACAAACGATGGAAAACGACAGTCGTGCAGCTTTGTTTTTTTCCGAATGGAGTCAGGATAACGGCCCGACAGCTCTCGAAAATAGAGTCCTTCGAGTGCCCTCCGGAGGAGGCTTGAAAAGCGCCGGACGTTTAGGAGTTTCGAGAGCTACTCTCGAAACGAGGTTCTGACAACTCTCGAAAGAGTTTTCGGGCCACAACTCTCAAGTGGCTGTGTGGCGACCGCTCCAACTCTTGAAAACCGGGTTTCAAGAGTGGTGTGGCGAGGCCCAAAGAACTTCTCAAAAACAGGTAAAACTTGAAGCTCAGAAAGATGGCCAAATTTAAGAAGGATTCCTATTTTGTTTCCATATTATTATATGTATTATATGTTATGTCAGAAAACAGTGCACAAAAAAAAAAAAAAAAAAAAAAAAAAACAAAAAAAAACAGGACACCGGGGGGCAAGTCCCACTAGGAGCGTTGAGCTACCTCAACGCCTGAATTTGGACGTTTTGCGGAGGTGCGCAGAAATGGTGTTGAGTTTCCTGAAATGCACGTCTCCACAAACACGTCCAGATTCAGGAGTTGAGGTAGCTCAACGCTGCTAGTGGGACTTGGCCCCGGTGCACACGATTGGGCTCATGAGGTTGAGGGCCTTGCCCCAGCACAGGTAGCCAAATACGAAAATGACAGAAACATTGGCAGAAGTATCTATTCACGTTCTACCGGAAGATACATCGCTCCACTACTACTCACGTGTGCCCTCAACCTCAACCCTATGGGCCTCGCACCACTACTACTGCCACATCTGCAAACAAAAACAAAATGAGAATGACTCTTTTTTTTTTCCCTTTTTTTTGTTTTTTTGAATCATTCTTATTACCAAGAAAAACCCGAGGCCGGGGTCGTCACAATTAAACCCGGAAAGAATGAATCTTCTCCTAGAGCATGGAAATAGACACCCTGCAAAAAAAAAAAACAAAAAAAAAACACCCCCATAACACCCCCATATTTTTTATTTTTTTCGTCTTTTGTGATCGAAGTGTAGTGGCGCGAGGCCCTTTGATGAACGGTTCACTGCGCGGTTCCCACGCTGCCTGGGGCGTGGTCCCACTAGCAAAGAGGATCCGATCGAATGCCTGAATCTGGACGTAATTGTGGAGAGTGGAGAGGTGCAGGAAATCGAGATTTAACTGCTTTTCGGCACCTCTGCGTAAAGCACATCCAGATTCTGTCCTCTTTGCTAGTGGGACCTCGGCCCTGGTTGGAGGAGCACTGTACGAAAAGGTGAATTATAAATGCCGAAGCGAATCAAGTCCTCTCGTACTATCGCTCACACTCTGGCCTTGTTGATATTTAGTGGGGTTTTAGAGAAGACCTCGCCGTCGGCGGCGGGTTTGGTGGTCCTCGTCGCCATCGCCAAGTTGAATCGTCGTCTTCCCTTTTACTCTCTGGACTTTCTCGTCGCAAACTACCAGCTGAATTTGAAGATGGCCGTCACAATCTCTGCTATCAAGGCGCGTCAGATCTTCGACAGCCGTGGCAATCCCACGGTGGAGGTGGACGTTACCACCAGTGATGGCGCGCAGTACCGCGCGGCTGTCCCGAGCGGTGCGTCCACCGGCATTTACGAGGCTCTGGAGCTCCGCGATGGCGGCAAGGATTTCATGGGGAAGGGGGTGCTGAAGGCTGTGAGCAACGTCAACGACATCATTGCCCCTGCTTTGATCGGGAAGGATGTGACGGATCAGACGGCCATCGATCAATTCATGGTTGAGCATTTGGACGGTACGCAGAATGAGTGGGGATGGTGCAAGCAGAAGCTCGGCGCGAATGCGATCCTCGCGGTGTCTCTAGCGGTCTGCAAGGCTGGTGCCGGCGCGAAGCAGATCCCCCTCTATCGGCACATAGCGAATTTAGCGGGAAACTCGAAGCTGGTCCTTCCTGTCCCTTCGTTCAACATCATCAACGGCGGATCGCATGCGGGTAATAAGCTGGCGATGCAGGAGTTTATGATCCTGCCGACGGGCGCGTCTTCGTTCCAGGAGGCGATGAAGATCGGCAGCGAAGTGTACCATCATCTGAAGTCCATTATCAAGAAGAAGTACGGCCAGGATGCGACGAACGTGGGCGATGAGGGCGGGTTTGCGCCCAACATCCAGGACAACAAGGAGGGATTGGAGCTCATCAAGGCGGCCATCGAGAAGGCAGGCTACACGGGTAAGGTGACAATTGGCATGGACGTCGCGGCGTCGGAGTTCTATAACGACAAGACGAAGATGTACGATCTGGACTTCAAGACAGATCATAATGACGGCAGCAAAAGGATCACAGGCGATCAGCTGATTCACCTATACCAGTCGTTCTGCAGCGAGTACCCTCTTGTGTCGATCGAGGACCCCTTCGACCAGGACGATTGGGAGCACTACGCGAAGCTGACGGCTCTGATTGGCGAGAAGGTGCAGATCGTCGGCGACGATTTGCTAGTCACCAACCCTAAGAGGGTGGCCAAGGCTATCGCAGAGAAGTCTGCCAACGCTCTCCTCCTGAAGGTGAACCAGATTGGATCCGTCACGGAGAGCATCGAGGCCGTGAGGATGTCGAAGAAGGCAGGGTGGGGGGTGATGACCAGCCACAGGAGYGGMGAGACYGAGGAYACGTTCATCGCCGATCTCGCCGTTGGATTGGCCACCGGACAAATCAAGACAGGAGCGCCGTGCAGATCGGAGCGCCTGGCGAAGTACAACCAGTTGCTTCGTATCGAGGAGGAGCTCGGCGATGCCGCTGTCTACGCTGGCGTCAATTTCCGTGCGCCGGTCGAGCCCTATTAAGCGTCGGTTGTGTTTTGTGTTTTTGTGTTTTTTGTGTTTTTGTGTTTTTTGTGTTTTTGTGTTTTTGTGTTTTGTGTAGCGTGTTCCTTATTGTGGTGTTCCTTGGTTCGCTCGGGATCCCTCGGAAGATGCCGTCTTGCACGATGTGCGAGAGGGATAGGTTTTGTAGCTATCGGATGCTGGCGTCCGTCCTCCCTCTCTTAGCTTCTGATCTCGTAGGTGTGATTAGGGGTCGACTTCACTGGCGCCGACCATTTCCGTGCGCCGGTCGAGCCCTATTAAGCGTCGTTTGTGTTTTTGTGTTTTTGTGTTTTTGTGTTTTTGTGCAGCGTGTTCCTTGGTTCGCTCGGGGCCCCTCGGAAGATGTCGTCTTGCACGATGTGCGGGGGAGATAGGTTTTGTAGCTATAGGATGTTGGCTTCCGTCCTCTCTTCCTTAGCTTCTAATCTCGTAGGTGTGATTAGGGGTCGACTTCACTGGCGCCGACCATTTCCGTGCGCCGGTCGAGCCCTATTAAGCGTCGTTTGTGTTTTTGTGTTTTTGTGTTTTTGTGTTTTTGTGCAGCGTGTTCCTTGGTTCGCTCGGGGCCCCTCGGAAGATGTCGTCTTGCACGATGTGCGGGGGAGATAGGTTTTGTAGCTATAGGATGTTGGCTTCCGTCCTCTCTTCCTTAGCTTCTAATCTCGTAGGCGTGATTAGGGATTGACGTTAACATCCGTTCTCTCTTCCTTAGCTTCTAATCTCGTAGGTGTGATTAGGGATTGACGTTACTGGCGCTGGCAATCGATTGTATTGTTTCAGTTGGTTATCCATCACGGCACTGGATTATGAAGTTTGAGAATAGAGAGAGGGTTGGATAATGGAGTGCGGTTCGATAATAGATGGTAGGCGTTCTTGGTCCCTCTGTTTATCCAGGTTCTACTGGTTGTAGGTGCTAGGAAGAGGATGAGGTGGTCTTGCGCGGCAGTGTGATTGACGTCGTGGTTTAGGATTTAGTATACGTTCTTGCGCTCGGTCTATATTGATGCCAGCGGCAAGTTTGAGTTGAGAGAACGGGAGAGTAGAAGATAAATGTACGGGTGGGTGATGGTGCACTCGGTGTTTCTTGGTTACATGGGAAATGAGGTCTTTGATTTAAGAGGTACATTATGCTGAATCGGTCATTTGCCGCTTCTTTTCTCTCGATGTTTCCTGCTGTGCGGCGGAAGTGTTGAAAAATTGCATTGACAATTATATGCATAGACAGTCCAAAAAAAAAAAAAAAAAAAAGATACAGTAAAAAATTATAGACCCCCATACCTACCTGTCTGAGGGGGCATCATTTTCTCAATTCGAGGGACGCAGAAAGTTGACTTCTTGCTTCCATCATACAGGATGCCCGTGCTTTGGTGTGCCAGTATTGACGACGAGCACTTGGAAAGCAGTGTACGCACAAGATCAATCATAGCTGGCTGATGTTCCTGAAAAGAGGGGTGAACAAAATAACCAGAATAGCATGCACACACACACACACACACACACACACACACACACACACACACACACACACACACAGAGAGAGAGAGAGAGAGAGAGAGAGAGAGAGAGAG